GTATTCGAGAGAAAGGATTTATTTCTGTTTTTTTATGTAAGAAAAAGTGAAGATGGTCTCTATTGCCCTCTTTATTAGAAACGGACTGTTAGATGAATTGGACGACTAGCATCTCCCTTGTCGCGTACACACAGGCTCGAAAACCCCACGTTGACCTAGCTCTACGGAGCTAGTGGGACAAGGTCCCCCCATGGACCGTTTTTTTTTTCTTTCACCCTACACTATTTCGGTTTTTTTTTTTTTTTTAATTCTTAGACTTCCTCGAAAAAAAATAAAATATATATGGGGATGTAGAGCGCAAAGATATCTACACCCCCATATTTTTTTTGTTTTTTTTGGGACTTTTTTTGCCGACGAAAAAAAAATCCGCGGGTCGAGTTGAAACGAGTTGCAACGGGGTATAACGTGGAGTTGAAACGGGGGTGCAATGGGAGTTGAACCGTTCAACAGGGAACCCCCGTTGAATCCAATTTCGGACACACAGGCTGGCGCACTCGGCCGGAGTGGCCTAAGGAAGCTCCATTTGTGTGTTCGCGACGAGGTTGGTTCAACTCCTGCATGACGCGGCCGAGAGGGTCCCACGCTGCCACGTGCGGTGCCGGACCCATGCGCTCGACACTGGTCATCACGTGTCACTATCTACCACTACGATCGTCCCGCCGCCAACTTAGCCTCGACGTGGCTTGCCCGGATCCCACAGTCCGTCGTGGCGATCTAGCGCACAGCCAACCAGTCTACAGTCAGCCCGTCAGGACTTTCCGACTCGCACTATACACATCATCTAGCCACTGCTTCCCAGAAGCTGGCCGACGAGTTGAGAGAGAGTGTCGCGGATGCGCCGACGAAAYTTATAGTTGCGAGAAGGGAGAGAGATGCGGGGAAAGATGAAGAGTGAAGTAGAGGAGGGTAAGGGAGGGCTTGAGAGTAATTGCCCGTTGAAAGCCATGTTRATCCCTCACCCCTCGATCTCAGCCAATCAGAATCATCGCGCAGTAGGAATCTCCTCTTACACGGCGCTTCTTATTGGCATGATAGGAATAGAGGATCGTCCGGGTTTTTCGAGCGCGGGTCTTAGAGCAAGAAGAAGAGGAGGGCGAAGGATAGCGCGGAACGATTCCAAGATTCAGATGATCAAGAAAGAGGAAAAGGGTGTGCGCGGGGAAGAAGAGAGAAAAACAGTTACAGGGGGAGGGAGCGAGAAAGCACGCGAGGTAAGGTACTAAGAGGGGCGCAAGAAGGGAGGAGGAGGGAGCTCGCTTGCATGGCGCCGAACAGCAAAAGAAGAATGGGCACCGAAACAGTTGCAATTTTTTCCAGTCCTACGCTTATAACAGGGGATTCGTGAAAACCTCACAATCGAAGAAAACCTAACATTTCTTATAGAATGAAAAAGTAAAAGTCAAACTGTTATTTTTTACACAAAAAGAAAGCGTTTTTAATCGTTTTGCGATAAAGGAGGCAAAAAATCAGGTGAAAAGTCTAGCATTCCTCAAAATGTGCAAGGAAACCCTTCCTTGCAAAATGTTTTTATATGACTTAGACACACACACACACAGAGTACAGCGTCCATGGCTACGGTCGTCCCCCCAACATAACGTACCCTGGCAATGAATGTATACAAGCCATCTGTACGGTTGGGTACAGGGAACATGAGGGTTCCCAACATGACTGTGTACGGGTGCGAATTTGTCCCAGGCGGACGCGGGGGAGATAGATAGATAGATAGATAGAGATAGAGATAGAGATAGAGAGAGAGAGAGAGAGAGAGAGAGAGAGAGAGAGAGAGAGAGAGAGAAAGAGAGAGAGAGAGAGAGAGTTAACAGGGGAACAGCAGCCACACTGCTCAGAGTACTGGAAGATCACACCCTCTCTCTCTCTCTCTCTCTCTCTCTCTCTCTCTCTCTCTCTCTCTCTCTCTCTCCCGCTCTCCCTACCTCTCCCCCTCCTGCTCCCTCCCTCCCTCCCTCCCCCGCCCCCTTGGATCAATACAGGCAAAATGAGGGTCGCGAACAGGTGTGCGTTATGTTGGGGGAAGACGGCAACTATGGAGGCCATTGCTGCCGTCCTCCCCGAACATAACGCACGCTATAGCTTTGTTGGCCACCGTCGTTCTGCCTGTATCAGACCAGAAAAAAAATTAAAGAAAAAAAAAGAAAGAGAAAAAAAAAAGAAAAGAGAGAGAGAGAGAGAGAGAGAGAGAGAGAGAGAGAGAGAGAGAGAGAGAGCATCGTCGATAGCTGCTGCCTTTCCCCAAAATAAGGCACACCGTAGGGTTCAGGACCCTCATTTTGCCTGTATCCGACCCGAAAAATAGTGTGTATACGACCATTAGCAGGGGGGACAGTCCTCCCCGGAACATAATGCACACTGATAATGAATGTATGCAAGCTATCTTTCCAGCTATCTTGCCAGTCCAGTACAGGCTCTCTCTCTCTCGACACACACACACACACACAAACACACACCTCCTGATAAGTCGGTGAAAGTCCAACGAAATAGTCTGGGACAGTCATGCTTTTTTTGAGTGCATAGCGAATATGACAACACACAGAGACAGACAGACACACACACACACACACACACAGAGAGAGA